TATTTAGTGGGCTAATTTAAAATATTGAATTTGATCCTTGAATTGTGGATTTGTTTCCAAACACATATTATTTCAATGCCATTTCATTTATCAAACTTACTCTGACTCTGGCCTCTGTTAAATTAGTCCAAACAGCGATTTCCTCTCTAGTGGACATGTCCGGATAGCGATTCCGTTGAAAAGTGGCCTCCAGTTCCTGGAGCTGTTGGCTAGTAAAATGCGTTCGTTGCCGCCTCTGTCTCTTCTTTTTCGATGGGTCATCAGTCGAATCTTCGTTTTTACTCTGTCCCTTCTCTTTCTCTGCAATGCAAAGTAATACAGTATTTTAAAATAAATATTTAATCCAAGAGGAACAATTTTTAAGCTTGAGGCTCAGTTTTGACACATTAGAGAAGTCTGTGTGGGGGAGATAAATCTAATTCCGTTTTATTGAATTGAAAATATTTGACATCATAGTAACAAGTAGGTTCCCTGGCAACAACTTATGATGTTGATGTTTCTGAACTAAAAATCCAAGTACAAATGTTCTAAAATCAAGGTTTAGAAAATATTTTAACCACAATGAACGCAACATGTCTTTTTCATCATACGAAAAAAAGGAACATTAGGGTTAGGGAATGTTTGCATTATTCCATACAAAACGCAATGCCACAGTGTAAACATTTGTGAGAAGCCCACATTTTCACACACAATTTAAGTAAATAAAGCCTTGTCAAAGGGCATGACTTATAGCCCAGTTCAATAGTCCTATGAATCAACTAACTGCCAGTTCCATGTCTTGATATAGCCTATTTGCATGCCTCACACTGTAACCTACTCTGTTTTCAAATTGAGGGAGATGTTTTAAACGGTTTCTTTTTGAAGAAAAGTTACCTAATGGTAACTGACACCAAACCCGAAAACACTCCAGTTAAATATCTCTTCAGAGGATCAGTGCTTACCTACGGACTCTGGACTGGAGGTGTCTGAAACCGTGTGTACCTCCAGCTTGTGTTTCGAGTCCACAGACCGCTGGAGCGGTTGCAGACTAGAGGCCATCGTAAGCGGCGTGTGTTTACTCCCGGTAACGTGGTGATTGTGGTGATGGTGGTCCAAACTCAACGGATCCTTCATAGAGGTCATGGATAACACAAGCGATTTGCGGAGAGATATAACTTCCTCAGCGAAGGTCACAAATATATAAAAAAAGAAATAAATAAAAGAAATGAATGTGTCCAGTAGTGAAGTATCGGCAAGCGTTGTCAGTGCTCCTTTCTCACTTAAACCACTCAAAGCGATACTCCTCAAACGGCTTTTATCGTAATAAAATAAACCCAGTGTTGAAGAGAGTTATAGTTTTTTTCTTTTTTTTT